AAAGATGCGTACAACTTATCTTAGATTGGAACTATCGGAAACAGGAAATAGTCGTCTTATCCGATAGGCACGCAGCAATAAAAGCGATCAACTCAGTAACCATCAATTTGAAGTTTGTCCAAGAATGCTTAGAGAAGCTGAACAAATTAGGCAACGAAAATAAAGTCCCTCTACTCCGGGTACCAGCTTACTAAGGGATAGAAGGCAAAAAAGCGAACGATCTAGCTAGAAAAGGAGCGAACACTCTGAAGAACACAAAAGAACCGTTCTGCGGAAAGTAGAAACCAACTTAAAGCGGAATTCAAAAACCTGGAAGACTCCATGCGTAACTTGGAATAGGAATCCTCCAACGATCAAAGGTTTTTTTTTCTATTTAAGTAAGAACAAGTGTTTTTAACAGGACAACGTTGTCTCTTTAACGAAAACCTCAGTAGAGTGAAGCTTAGAAACAACGTCGAATGCAGATTTTTCGGGAAAAAATGGCGAAACGCCATCACTAAGTGCGCCAAGATGACAATTTTTTTGTTATTTATTGTATTTTGTGTGCTGTATAATTATGTGAGGTATCTTTCCCAGGTTTTCATTTGAAGTACGTTTATTTGTGCATACCCTTTCACTGCTTTTTTTCTGATTTTCAGCATCTTCCATACATTTCTTTGTGCTCCATACATGTCATGGTCCAAATCGCTCGTGAGCTTACCCGTGTTTGGTTTGGTAGGCGCGTTTATTAAAAGTTGCAGTAAGACATAAGGTGAACTCTTGAATTGAAGCAATATCTTTAATTCAAGAGGTCATCCTATGTCTTACTGCAACGTAGTCTTGATAGGTTTCTTTTGACAAAAAAGCCTTATACCCCAATAAGACGTACAAAGAAGGTTCTGCATTTTTACACAAACCAAATGCAGATATTTTTAAAAAGTCAGCAATTTGTTCGCCTCTCAACTCGCAAAGGACGCCTCTCAACTCTAAAAAAGTGGCGGACTTTGCTCGTCAGTTCAAGACTGAAAAATTTGGAATTTAAAAAGAAATTAAATCGCGATTTGGCAATCAACATTTTTGTATTTATATGCTATGTTATTAGATTTTCGATTTTACAGTCTCTTTCTTAAGTGTCTTTTTTTTAATTAACGACATAGTCAGTATACTGGGTGACAAAGAAGCTATTGTACATACAGCTACTTCATTGGTTTTATAGGCATGATACATTTAAATTAGGGTTCAAAGTATTAATTTACTAAACCCACTTTTTCCAATAGAAAACAATTGAACAAAGCCGCCTTGTATATAAGTTTCCTTCTTTTAAGGTGGCTACTGACACACAAATATTTCTTGAGATATGTACGTGCGCACATATACTACTGCACATACATATCATCTGTAAAATACGTTTCGAATACGTATACGTAATCAGTCAATGCTAGAATTTTTTTACACGCATGCTATTTGCACGTATATTTCAAGGACTGTTTGTGTGTTTTAGTAATATTCAACAGATTTTTATGTGTTTTGATGAAATATATTTTCATCACAAGTTTTAAGCTTATTCGATTTACGAACACGCTAGTTTTGGGATGAAAAATTTATTTTGAAGAAAATGGCGTAGAATTTCTTAGAACTTCCTAGAAAATTGCTTAGAATGGAAAGAATTTCTCTTAATTTTTTTAGTTTTTTCTCTTTATTTTTCAATAGAATGTATGTTTAATAAGGAACCGAAAATCAGATAAGCTGTTTAAAAAAGCATAATAAATGAGGATTATAAAAATGTAAAATATAGAAATAAAAATAAACTTATTCTAAAAATTTAGAACTAGATAATAACATTACTCTCAAGTCTTTTCTAAAATAATATTGTTCGTTATTTTTTTACACAGAAATTGTACTACAAAGTTTTAAAATTTATTAGAAATCGTGCTTAAATACTATTAATTTGTTCTAACCCAAAAGCTATTAAAAAAGATTATATAATAAATATAAAATAAATGTAGGTACCTATATTCTCAGTATCTGACAGTCATTTACTTAAAACTGAATATTGAATGCACCAGTACTTTGTGACAATTCACTAAATTTCAAATTAAAACAAGTAATATTTAAACTTTATAATTAATAAACTAAGTAAACCAGGATATTATTAAATGAATAAAATCTGATGTCCATCTTTTATTATTACTATAAAAGTTGTGCTGTAATCAACTAATTTTTTGTAGTTTATTTTAGTGCACATTTGTCAACATGTTAGTACCGATCGAAAAAAAACGGCGTCCAGTTGGCTTGGATAATGATCGATGACATTCCCTATATAATTTTATATATAAAATGGCAGTGATTTTATAACTATGGCATATCGTTTAACTTATAACTGTTGTAATGTACCTTTGGGGACACAGTCAAATTCGTCAAAAACATCTTGGCAGCGAACGTGTTAATGATCCGGTAAAATTATATAGGTCAGTTTGTCATTTTACCGGATTTGGTATTTTGATTTAATAGGTATTCGAACCTATTTAAAAAATTCCTTCTGTGAAAGTAATTAATTAATAAATTAATTAATTCTGTCAACTATAATAAAATGTAGGCGGGAATATACGAAATGGGGCATTTCTTCTAACTGATTTTTTTAATATTTTAAATTTATTTATGTTTATGGGTTTGGTTTTCTTGTCTACAGGATGTGTCAAAATCGGTTTCTCACCATTGGGATCTAGGAAACGGTAAAAGAAACAGGGTGTCGTAAAGTGGGTCAAAGTTGCTTGTTAATGAGTCTAATGATAATTCGTTTAGTAACTAACTAGTGTTTTGTCATTTCCGGAAATATGGCGGAAAAACTAAAATTTGTTTTTAACCAACCCAACCCAACCCAAATAAACTCCTAAAAAATTAAATCTAAAACCGGAAATATCAGTTTCACCGCCATATTTCGGGAAATGTCTTGGATTGAATTTTTTATCGTTACTTAGATCTCAATGGTGAGAATCGAATTTGAAACACTCGTTATACCACATACATTTTATAGTGGTACACGCAAATGTGTACCCACACTTTCTACTCCGTTTAACCCTATATTCGTGTATATTTCTGCATAAAGCAAACCAGACATCAAAATAGGTACGTTCATTATTTTGAAAGCATGTAAAACAGAGAATGTGATAAAAGCAGACATCGTCTTTATGGAGGTATATTATACATGTAAAATAAAAAAAAGAGGTACGAATGGTGTCGCTTTTAACACGCTTCATATCGCACTAAACAAGTTTAATTTTTTGATGAACAATAGGTAAAACAAATGTTTTTTATTTAAATTCAATTAAAACTTGCTGAAAAATGCTATGCAATATTTATTTTAAAATTAATTAATAAAATATGTCACCATGTGTGTAGAAACATAAAAGAAATCTTTAAAAAGGGAAGTTACAATTATTGTTTGCCAACAAGTTTTTTTAGTAACAAGGAGCAGTCCTCTGCCAAAAACACTGCGACCTGTGAGCAGGGTTCGGAAGTTGTAAATTAAGACGTAATTTACCTGATTAACTACGTGTAGTTTTTCTTCAAAAACTACGTCTTTTCCCGTTCATTAACTACATGAAAACTACGTTAATAAATTATGTATTGATATTATGAATAATTTTCATTTGTATGAGGTGTAATAGAGATAATATGATGTAAATATTATATTAAGGCATATTTCTTCCGTTTTCTTAAATACATTATGTGTTTTTAAAGCTTCAACTTATTATAACCTCACCTCAAACCTTTGATATTTGAAAGTTACATACATAGGGTACATAAACTACACCCTCTACATAAACAACATTAACTACATGTAATGTAGTTTATGTAGTTTTTAAAAGTAACATGTAGTTTTCCGAACCCTGCCTGTGAGGCCTATCGTGTTTGTCCCATTTCTATATCTGCCCATTCTCCTATCCCAGTGCCCTGCACTAACTTATGCAGGTCCTTGATAGGATGGTTAGGTTAGGAGTGGCGGCTCGTGACCCATTGGGCTGGGTAGGCGACAAGTTTTTAGTTGCATCTATTTGCCCCCCCCCCCTAAATTTACATAAAACCCTAACCCAGTTCGTAAATCTATGTTATCTCCTGGGTTAAAAACGTAGGTCAAGAATATTAGACAAAACTAAAGCAAGAATAGCAGCATTCAACGTAATGACATAATGATTGACACAATATACAAATATAAGTTTTTTATCTCCTCAGATGCTAATTTTTAAGTACTTTGATAAATAAGATAGATAATAGTTACATGGAGTACATCCTGTACATCATAGGATTTTATTTTATTTTATTTATTTACGCAAACTTAAAAATTCGTAAGTATATAGACAATTAAATTTACAAAGAAAAACAGATTCTATTATTCATATACATATGTATTTCAAGACTAATGAAAAAAGGAAAGAATAATTATGTTTTATATATTAAATAAATGAGTGGATCTCTTAATAAAGAAAAGTTATTTATTACTATATCAGTAATATCATTAGATTGTCGAAGGGCTTTGAAAATATCTATTTAGAAGAAAAGTAAGGCAAGTGACCGTAAATCTATATTTTTCATGAAATTTCTACTGTAAATTTTAATGCATTTCAAACATGAAAAATATCTCTCAGCCCAAGTACAAAACCAGGCAAATGCCTACAAACCTTAAAGTCAAAGTCAAATTGTGTTTTCTAAACTATTAGGCTTTGCCTGTTTGGAACAAGTTTTAAATTACTAAAATGCATCTCTGGTACACTTGTACATTAATTTATATACAGTTTGCCAAAAAAAATCATGAAAATTGGGCTAAAAATAAAAAAATATGACGTTTTAAATTTGGCGAAAAAATTTTCCGTTAAGTTTTTTGGCATCTGAGTGTATATCTGAGCTTTGAGCTAAATTCCAGGAAATTAAGAGTTTATTCAAAATTGTCAAAATTAATACAAATTTATTAATTATTTATTATATGATGACAATAGATTAAGTAATCCAACTTCATGTTGCAGATGGATCTTCAACGCAGAGGTCATCAATCGATTACAAATGGACAGGTTAAAGGACATAATTATTGGAGATGCTACTTTAACGCAGTAACATGTTTTTAAAAAACATGAGATATAAACGATTTTATATTTGAAATAGAATAATTAATAAAACATTTTTTTTCTAATTATTCAGTAAGTTATGTTAACATATACAAGCTATTGTATTAATGTATATTTATATAGTTTTTATTTCATTTTTATTTTATTTTGTTATCTAGATTTATTTATACCTGTTACCTGTACACTTTGCAATTTTAGTTCACTAGTTAACAGCAAATAACATTTCGGTTTGAGACTTACTATTTGCTATATTACTCTTTTTATTATTTTTTTCTATTGCTAAAGTATGCACATACAAAAAAGTTAAGGCTCATCGCTGATTGAGTTACTTGAAATCCTTATTAAGCGGTATAACTGCAATATTAATAAGGTAATAATTTTAAAATATTTAATTTTTATTAGTCTCTTCAAATTATGCGGTTAGCTGTTAATGTCAACTAAATAAAGTTCGAAATTATACACTCACTGGCACGAAAAATGGACACCTTAAAATTTTCATGTAATTTAAAGTTTTATACGGGGTGTCCCAGGCTGAGTGTGGATTAAAAGTTTCTAGAGACCTACAACATCTAGCTCGGAGATTTTTTGCACATCATAGTTTTACAACGAGATCTATCAATTAAAATTATTTTCAATATGGCGGCACTTCCGGAAATACCGGAAGTTGACAACAATTTTCTTATTTTAAATGGATGCCCTCATTTTTTATTACATACTTAAATTCTGTGTAAAATTCTATGAATTTTATTTCAGAACAGTTCTCGTATTTTTAATAAATTTTTTTAAGAAGGGCTGAAAAAAATATATTTTTGATTTATTTTTTAATATCTCTGAAACTATTTACTCATATCTTAGGGTCATGTAAAGTGATCGGAAAGAAAGCCAAAAATGCAATAATATACAGGGTGTTCCATTTAAAAAAAATCATCCAGGTTCATTTACACTTTTTTGAGCCACCCTATAGAAGTTAAAATATTTTCCTGAAATACATCCAAGTACATACTTTAGGTTTGCACTTAAACAAAATTCTCAAGTTGTTTATTCTAGGAGCTAGAGATGCCCGACGCACAATTGCCGGACCCTGTATATTAGTTGTCACTGGAGAGACAACCATTAGTCTACCACATTCAAAAAAATTATAGGATGCGTCCCGTCAATTAAAAATCGGTATTAAACACGCTATACCTAATATTAACCGTTTTTGAGAAAAAAATATTTAAAATTTTTGGCCAAAAAAAACTGCCTGTCAAAAATATGTGTATAGTCTAAACGTCAAATTTAGTGATTACCACAGCCATTGTGCTATAAAGAGAAGACATGGGGCTATCTATTTCAAAAATTAAATTGTTCGAATGTCATATAATAATGGCCGCAGCTGTCATGGAATTCAGCGATTAAAAAATGATCATAAATCATTTTTTTCAAATGGAAATCCATTTTTTTTATTTCACTAGGCTTTTCAATTCGTTACTTTTTGCCTATACATGTTCCTATACCTAAAATAAATAGTTTTTAAGTTATTTGAGATTTAGTTTTAAAGCGTATAATTTTCTTGATTTTAAAGAGTAGCCTATGACTTTAAACGTCAAGTGATGTAAAACAATAAATCTAGCCATATCGTATTGTGACACTTGTTCAAAAAGCAGTATGTTATCGATCATCATTTCCAAGCCAACTTTGCGCTGTTTTTTTCAATCATACGGAGTATTATTAATAATAATTAATAATATCAACTATGAGATATCACTAAAGAGCGAATATACGAAATATATTTTTATAAATATACTTTTTAAACTCTTAAGGGTGCAGGCAGTATTTATAATATAGGAAATTCAAATGATTCCTTTTCTCACAGATGGAAGTAAATTGTCTGACTGTTTGACACTTAATGTCAAAGGAAGCTTGATAAAATCAAGAAAAATATACGTTTTAAAACTAAATCTTAAATAACTTAAAAACGATTTATTTTAGGTATAGGAACATGTACAGTTAAAAAGTAACGAATTGAAAAACCTGTTTACTTGTGAAATAAAAAAAGTGGGTTTCCATTTGAAAAAAATGGTTTATGATAATTTTTTAATCGCTCAATTTCATGATAGCTACCGCCATTATTATATGACATTTGAACAATTTAATTTTTGAAATAGATAGCTACATGCCTTCTCTTTATGCCATAGTAGCTGTGGTAATCACTAAATTTGACTTTTGGGCTATACAAATTTCTTTGATAGGTGGTTTTTTCGTCCAAAAATTTTAAATATTTTTATTTCTCCAAAACGGTTAATGTTAGGTATAGAGTTTTTAACATCAATATTCATAGAATTTTACAGAAAATTTAAGTATGTAATAAAAAATGAGGGCACCCATTTAAAATAAGAAAGTTGTTGTCAACTTCCAGTATTTCCGGAAGTGCCGCCATATTGAAGATATTTTTAATCGATAGATCTCGTTGTAAAACAACGATGTGCAAAAAATCTCCGATCTAGATATTGTGGTTCTCTAGAAACTTTTAATGAACTTAGTCCATTTTTCATATCAACGTAGGTTCGATTTTGCTTTGTTTCATAGCTACAGAGACAACTTTCAAACGGCATTAAACTGTTTACACTATTTCGCTAACAAGAAAAAAGTCAGTGGCGTACATGCTTTTTTAGAAAAATATTCATGATAACCCATATGTACGTTTCTGGTGAATATGTCGACACGTTTTTAGTTTGGTTTGGTTTAAAATATGTCGCATTTATAGTAACTTTTACCCTCAAAATTTCATTCGAAATGCTAAAAGTACTTGGAAGAAAATTATAATAAATCGACAAAATATTAAGACTTTAACACTCTCTAGCTACGAAACAAAGCAGAATCGGACAGGACCTATGTTGATATGAAAAATAAGAGAGATGGCACATATTTTTTGAAACACCCTGTATAAATATCCTATTCCTGTTTATTTACATGTGTTTTGTAGTAAATTGATCATACTCCAATATTGTGTCTGCATTCTTGGAAGTCCTTTCATAGACACAGAATCCAGTAGGCGTACTTTACTACTTTTAAAAATATTTTTAAAAATATATCCATTAAACGTCTGTTTTATTCTCTGATTGCGGATTTCTAGAAACATTAGGAGTGCTATCATATGGCATTTTTAGTCCATTTTCCATTTCAATGACCCATTTCAATTCCCATTTCAATGACCATTCCAATTGGACCCATCATCAATGGGTCACTGAAATAACTCAATGATTAAATTATTCAAATTGCTATTTATTGAAAAATTATATAACGTTTTTAGTACTAAATGTCATCTTTATTTTATAATTGCATATTGTATTTTAAATATGCCTTTGTTCCATTTTTTCTGTCTCTTATTTCATACATTTTATATTTATAATTGATATTCATCTTCTTGGCATCTAGAATATAAATAAACTAAACCTATCTTATTACTAGGAATTAAAAACGTAATATACAGGGTGAGTTTCCTACGATGTTCTCTATGGGTATCTCGGAAGCTACTGGAGCTAGAGAATCGGTCAAATAGGGAAAGAATTGCAGCTTTGTGAGGACAAACATAATTATGTCTAATTTTTGAAAAAGTTTTTCAAAACAAAAAATTTTTGACAAAAAATTTTCAGATAAAAGTTGTAGATAATCACATCCGTAATGAAACTGTGTTCTCCTTTTATTTCTAAAGCCTGTCATTTTTTAAAATGGAAATCATAGAGTTAGCCATGACTTCATAAAGAGCGCTATAGCTTTCAGCGATATAAGCTATGTTTTCTTTGAAAAATTTTATACTTAGGTATAGTCAGTTCTTTTCTTTTATAAAAATTTTAACTTAGTTAGCCGTGGAAACAAATTCAATCGTTGTTGCTCTCAGAAATGTCAAACTGTCACATTCAAACAAAAATATTTTATCGAGACGCAACTTATTGTAAATATGAATTTTTCAAATTAGTTTAGGATTCTTGGACATTTCCCAGGATACGTTGAACACACAACGTTGCGTTGCACAACTTTTAAATAACCCATACACTTGGCAAAATTTTGATCAAACTTTTTATTAAAAGTTGTGCATTGTTCAAAAAACAAGCGACGTCCCACCAATAAAACTGGCTGGCAACTAAAATATTGCACAACGAAGCGCAACATACACTACACAACGCGTTGCGCAAACAGTCCCGTTGCATAAAAGAATTCAAACATTCTTAATACTTATCAAACAATTGCGCAACGCATCAAACAATGCCATACCTTGGCAACTTGTCGCGCAACAGCCTGTGTTGCGCAATTTGTTTGATAATGTATGGGCCATTTAAGGATGTAATTATCTACAACTTTTGTCTGAAGATTTTTTGTCTAAAGTAGAATATAATGGAATTAAGAGCATTTTTAAAATAAACGAAATTTGTTTTTTTAGAAATATCTAGTAAGCCCTAAACTTTTTAAAAATCTCAAAGGCGCAAAACTGCAATTATTTCCCTATTTAACCGACTCTCTTCAGTAGTTTCCCAGATATCCATAAAGAACATCGTAGGAAACTCACCCTGTATATAAATCATATATCTATTATACATTTTATCTTTTCTATAAAATAATAATAAATAATACACGTTTCATGGTTTCCTTTAGAAGAAAAAAAATAATCATATTGTTATATTTTCTAGAAATAATTAGGAGTGTATAATTTGCAAAGGGTAGAATATAAAAATGATCCTAACTCATGCGGAAAGTATCGTACTCATATATCGCGAAATGTAAATCTTCGCAGTTGTTAGGGTCATAATTATTTCTTTTAAAAATATCATTAATATATCCATGTCATCACTATACAGGGTGAGTCTTATATAAGTACAACTATTTTTAGGGCTGGTAGATCTCGATAAAAGAAACATATATTTTATTTTTACAGTTTTTCAAAATAAGTTCAAAATAGCTGAGTTATTTTACTTTGACGATTTTACTGGATTTCTTCTGGGTTTTCCTTCTTCTAAATTTAACCTTATTATGAAGAGAA